ATAAAAATTTTATATACCATTTATATAACTTGATAGATCTATGTAGATTTTATAAAAAAACAACTTCGTGATGTAGTTTAAATATATTTAATTAAAAATTTAAATATTAGGTACTAGTAATTAGGCATGTTTAAATATTTGTACTTAATTTAATATTCTTTATACTGTATTTTATTTATAATCTAGAATTGCTTTTATCTTTTAAAATTTACTAATTAAATTTTTTAAATTTTTTATAATTTAGATTTTCTTTATTTTTTAAATTTACTAATTTCTATTTATCTTTTTAAAATTTATTAATCAAGTTTTATTTTTTTAAAAGTTTAATAATTAAATGTTTATTTATATTTATTTTATTTATCTTAATAAAAATTTTATTTTATTTTCTTTTATATCTTAAAAGTTTGCTAATTAAATTTTTTATCTACATTTATAATATTTGTATTTTATTTAAAAAAAAAATTTTTTTTGCTTCATTTATTAATAATTAGGAATGCGAGACACCTAAAAAAACTTTATCAATTAATTACTTAAACATGTATAACTGTCAAATATAGCTGGTTTTAATATCATGATGTCTCCAAGTAAAACCTGTAAAATACAATTTAAAATTTCACTGTACCGGATTAACCTCAAAACCTTATGAATTACAAATTAAAAGCGGGTTACGAACTGTAATATAATTTTTTTTTGAAACGAACTTATATAGTATTTGTGTATCAAAATAGCCAGAACATTGTCATACAATGAGTAAATTACCTAATACGTAACATAGGAAACCCGATAAGGTGACAATTTAAATTTGTAATTACAAGTCTTATCTTAGCAGCATTTATACTATTGTAATGTTTTTAGTACAGCACATATTATTATCATTAAAATTATTATACTAAGTAAAAAAAAATTGCCTACTAGATAAGTATTATTATGAAATGCTCATGGTTGTTTCAAAAACCCGGAATACAATGTAAAATCCTCTATGATATATAGTATACAAGATGCACATTGTTTTTGGGAAGTGCATGGGCATGACCGATATTTTCAAATTGTTAAAGGATGCAATTTTTGAAATAAACCCATTTCACGTTTATACGATAGCTAGTACAAATAATTGCTTTTTATGATTATTTAAAACTAAACGATCGCTTTATAATTAAAAGATTTGCTTGATGGTTGGTTGAAACTAAAAGACTGCACATAATAAATATCGTTTATTATCATTATATAAGCTAAAAGATTGCATATAATAAAATATCGTTTATTATAATTACTGAATTATAAACTAAAAGATTGCTTATAATAAAACATCATTTATTATCATTATAAAACATCGTTTATAAACTAAAAAATTCCTAAAGCAAATCATATAAATCGGAATCTTCATCTTTTTGGTTTAATTCGCTTTCAAGCTTCCCTCGTTCACCTATTTCTGAAATAGGTACGCTTTAAGAACATGTAAAAAAGAAAAAAAAAAATTATATACAGTAATTTGAGTACGCAATTTTAACAAAAAAAAAATATATCACACCTTTCAATCGTGGGCTCGGACAAGTAGTTAAAATCTTTTGTTCTTCCTAGTATTACTTTATCATAAAGTTCATAATTTACACTACTCGAATCCTGGAGTGCGTCTAAAAATAATTTCCGTTCTTCTGGATCAAACTCATAATCAGATTGAAGTTGATCATTTAATTTTATTTCGTTAGAAAGCTTGTGGAAATCGTATAACTTTTCACGGCAATCGTCGAGATTTTCTACAGGTTCCCAACTAATGATAAAAAAACAAGAGATAATAATTAAATAGAACATAAAAAAGGTAGAATAAGGATATAAAAAGTAAAAGAATTACGTGTCTTTGGAATATCCTTTCCACACGACAAGGTAAAAATCTCGACCCTATAAATAAATAATAAGTTTATAAAGTATAATTATAAAGTATAATTATAAAGTATAATTATAAAAAAGAATTTTACGCAACACTTACATTAACCACTTTATGGGCAATTACGTGGTCAACCTCATATCGGTTGGGTTCCCAATTATCTACATTAGAATCACATCTGGTATGCTCCATACCCATTGATTGATTATCGAACTTCATCCACTGATCTTCATCTAACGAAAGACCTTTAACTAAATGAGCAACTTGCTCTAAATTAAAGGGTTAAAAATTACGACAAAAAGAAATTATGATACTAGTAGTACTACGTATATACAAAGTCATTTTTACCATCATCTCTTCTGCTGTTGCCTTTAAAGTTCATTATGATCCACGAAGTTATTTGTATTTTATATTCTGTCGTTACGGATACTTTAGATACTTTAGATAAAAATAATACTAGAATAGATAAATAAAAAAAATTTTTTAATCAGTTTTAAAGAAGGAAAAAATTGTATCGTAACAAAACAACGGGTACCTTCTTTCCAAAGATACAGTTAAAAAGATGGATGAATTTAAAAATCAACAATTTATATCTAAAATTAGGATAAAATTTGCTTTAAATATATCGTATCGGTATGTATTTTTTTTCATTTAACGTTATTGAATTTTGAAAAGCAAATATAAATAAAGTACCAGTTTTGCATAGATCAACAAACATTTACGTATTTGAAGACATAAAATAGTGATTGGATGATTTTTTGTTTCAAATATTTTATGTACGTACGTTTAATCAAATTGAGCTATTATCAATTACGTTAATTTTATCAGTAAAAACAGCCACGTGAGTTAAAAAATTTTGTTTGTACGTATTTATCCAAATACGTAACTCGCATGATTGTGATTGGCCAATAAAATTTGATGTACAAAAAACACCGCTCCACGTGATAACTTTATATCTTACGTATCGTTATGAATTTTTGCTATACAGTATATAAAAATATATAACTTGTATAAATAAGCTTTGAACATAATATTATAATTTAAACTTTCAAATAGTATTGACCGATTAAGCGCCATATTGTTTTAATTAACATATAAACATTGGAGTACAAAAATTTTTACCAACAAATTTCAAGGAATCCAAACTGATAACATCAATTTATATTGAATTATAAAATCGTTAATTTAATTTCAGGACCCCTGAAAACCTCACGAGAACTGAAATCGGGACCCTATATCGAATCTATGTTATATCTCTTAAAACTGCACCCTAACCCTAAAAATGAACTAAATTACTTCTGTCGCTATATTAAATTGGTACTCAATTATTGGTTTAAAAAATTTGTAAAAAAAAACAAAATTAAAAGCAGGGTTGTCGGATTATTTATGTTATGAGAATTCAAAAATTAACTTTGCAAGTTATATCGAGTGTATAAATGTAGCTATACGTAAAATATACTTAGCGTACATGAAATTATAAAATCTACTTTGTGCACCTATTCTTGATTCAGATCTTATACTAATCTCGAGCAACTTCCTTAATGTGACTTTCTGTTACTCAACCATTTCGATTAATTCGATTAATTGAAATTTATTAAAATGATCCTTTGTAATAATAATGTTAACCCTTTGTAATAACAATCTTAACGAAAATTTATTGTGTAAATTACAAGTTTTAATTTCAAACCGTTCGGAATAATAAAAGATGATGATTGTCATGTTCAGTTTTTTGGAATTAAATGATCATTATTTTTTTAACTAACTAAATCATCTTGTAAATCATAGAGAAAAGCGCTTTGGAATAGCCAAAAAAGAGTGCATTGATCAGTTTGGACATTTTCAATTAGATCGCTAGTACTAATTGCTATACAGTAGTAAAAATTGAAGATATTATACTTGTTGACAACTTCATATATCCGGTAATTTTTGTTTCGATTAATCATTTGTGGTGTGAATTTAAAACAAGGTTCTAATTAAGCTAGTTTTTATTAAAAATTTTAAGTTTACGAGGTTTGATTTATTAGTATTTACACAAAAAAGTTTGTAAACTTAATTATGGTTCAAAAATAATCCATTAATCAAGACTAATTATCCTAAATTTCTCGTTGCAAAAATTTATAATGTTTTTTATGTTTTTTTTTTTTGAATTTATTGCATTTACTACAAATTTGAATTTATAAAATTTTAAGGACGTATATCAATACGTATACACATTTAATGTTAAGTGTCTCATGTACGCCCTGTGCAACAATTTTTTCGAATGATCTCCAAATACGGATTGTACTATCGTAGTACGTGGTCGTACAGTTAGAAAATCAGAATGAAAATGGGGTCATTTCACACTAAAACGTTATTAACGAACTGAATCGTTTAATTTTTAAATTTAATTAATTAAAATGGCTTTAAAATTATTTGAAAATCTTTCAAATAATTATCTTGAACTTCTTAATGATAAAGAAGATTTTAATATAATCATTAATGTTGGTGAATCTCCAAATACAAAAGAATTCCGAGCACATTCAGCAATTTTAAGATACAGATCTTTATATTTTCATAATGAATTAACGAATATCCATAAAGACGAGAATAATATTAAAACAATTAATTTAAAAAATGTTTCTATTCAACAATTTGAAATTATTATCAAGTAAGTTTGTTATTTTAAATTGTATCAAGTATGATCCATGATTTATATTACGTTATAAGAAAAAAAATCTAAATAATATAAATTTTATACAAAGATATATCTATGGAGGAATTGTCTTACTTGAAAAACATGATGCATCATTTTTTTTTGAGCTTATGCTTATTGCTTATGAATTTCTTTTTGATGAATTGGCCAAACTCCTTCAAACTCATTTAATTGAAAAAGAGTCTCATTGGCTTCGTTTACAATTTAATCGTATTTATCAAAAAAGTTTCCAGAATAATAAGCTTCAAGATTTACAAAACTGGTGTAATGACATTGTGGTAAAGTACCCTAGTAAAATTTTTGATTCTGATGACTTTTTTACGCTTCAGGAAAATGCTCTAGTTTCGCTTATTAGTCGGGATGATTTACAAATGGAAGAAGTAAAAGTTTGGAATCATGTTATAAAATGGGGAATTGCTCAAAATCTTGACTTACCATCCGATCCTGAAGACAGGTCTCATGAGAATTTTCTAGCCTTAAAGACTAGTTTACAAAATTGTTTACCTTATATTCGTTATTTTCAAATGTCTGGTAATGATATTATTAATAATTTGCAACCTTATCAACAAATTTTTGAAAAAAAACTTTGGAAAGATATCATGAAAAAGTATATGACAAACGAACCAATATCTTCTACCGTTCTTCCACCTCGAATAATTTTGAAACCAACATTACCGTCTAGAATTGTTGAACCATTTTCAAACGTTATTAATGAAGCACAGGCAGCTGAAATTGCTTCATGGATCGATAAGAAAGATAATACATATTCAATAGTGGATATTCCATATGAATTTAAATTACTCCTTCGTGGAAGCAGAGATGGTTTTACTAATACTTCGTTTTGGAATTTGTGTGATAAGCAAACTCATCTTGTTTTAGTTATTAAGGTTAAAGGCACTGATGAAATTCTTGGTGGATATAATCCTATTGGTTGGGATAAACCACTATCGAATTTTATGAGTAAATATAAGAGTTGCAAAGAGAGCTTTATTTTTTCATTGAAAAATGGTAGTATACAAAATTCTATTTTAAGTCGTGTGAAAAAACCAGAGAAAGCAATTTACTGTAGTTTTGAGCACGGTCCAGCTTTTGGATATGGTCTTGATCTTGCTATGTGCAAAGATTTTAATTATGATGAAAACTACTGTTGGGTTAGTGATACAGGTTCATATGAGAAACTGATTAGAAATATTACTACATACAAAAAAGTCGAGTGGTCTCCCAACAGTAAAGTATCATGTTTTTTAATAGAGGAATATGAAATATTTCAAATTAATAAAAAAACCTAAAGATTTTTATATAATTTATAGAATATATAGATTATTAAGTTTGTGAATAAAATTTTACAAAATTTATTAAATTAAAAAAATATTAACTATAATTAATATATTGTTTGGTGCACTTTAGTTCGTAAGATAGTTGTGCAATCCAAGTGATAATTTGAGGCAGATAGTGAATGTTTAGAAGAAAACAGTAATATCAAATCAATTAATTTTAAAGTTGAAACGTGACACTACTGAAATTTAAAATTTCAAACTTATAAATTAAGCTGAAATGATTAAATACTAATGCACGAAATTGCATAAGAATATCATTGTATTATTCTGATAATTCAATGGAAAAATAACATATGAACCATATTCATGTCATTATTATTTTAGTTTTATTCATAAAGAAAAAATTATAAATGCTTTTCGAAAAATTTGCATGAGGTTCAGTTTAAGAGATAAATATTGATTATTATTTGTTTGCTTGTTTATATTTTAAATAAGTAATAAGTAATCGTAACTATTATTACATTTACAAAACATAAAATTATATTTTGTGATTTAGGGTGCTCTCAAGCATCTCACTCAATGGATTGGAAGTAAAATTTTAATTAGTCGAAAATTGAATAAATTAGCCAAGTGAGTCACCATTTTTGACGAATCTAGCATCGCCCAAAGATTAGTTACGTAGTGGCACTTTTGATAATTCATTTGTATGATAGATAATTTTGTAATTATTACAATCAATGTACTATTTTTTTGAACGATAAAAATTTTGTAATTATTATAAATCAAATATACTACTCTTTTTGAAGGATAAAAATTTATTCTTATTTTATGAATCCTTTTTGCAGATCGTGCCGAAAATATAAAGCTTTAAAAGCTTTTCAAGGAAATAAGACTTATTCCAAATGTTTAGTACGTATTAGATAATAAAAAGCGAAAGCATGAAGAAAGTAATGCTGACAACTTGGTGTTGAAGACAATGTGATTGATATTGAAAATACTACAGGCACAATTTACCAGACTCTTATAAACATGGATAACATTTACGAAAATTTGGAAAGTTTAGGTAAACAATTAATTTAAGTACATAGATTAACGAAATTCTCTTGGAGATGAACAAGATCAGCACGAACAAACCATTGCAAGTGCAAATATAGTTATCAGATTGTTGAGCAGGAATATGGATACATTTAGATAAGTACGATTCAAATTTGGACGAATATGATTCAGAGAGAAATCTACAATTAACAAGCAATTGAACTGAAAACAATACTTAAAAAAGTGTTATTTATTTTTTTTATTTATTACATTTTTAAATCTAATAAAATTAACTTTTTTAGGCAGTAGAATTTATTGAAAAATCAAATCTTCCCAACAAAACAAATGGTTAAATGCGGTTGAAAAAAACTTTGATCA